CCCCCCCCCCCAGCGACGCCACTGGACACAGTGCCCACAGACTGGTTGTTATTAAGGTGCAACTAAAGCTACTTAGTCCATAGACAATCTTGACAGTGGAACTCACTGCATCATAGATATGCAGATATGCATAATCTCTGAGGACCGCTAACCTTGAATCATACTATGATGTTTTCTATGTTTTAAGGCACACTAGTCTATTTACTCTTATAGTTGAAACAAGCCACAGCTATTCATGCTAGATAACCATACAAGCCAGACTCACAAACCTGCCAGGGCTAATCATATTTAATAACCTCAGACATACATAGCATCAGCCTGTCTATCCTTATGTAGATCTGCATGCTCACGGGCTGTTTAACATAAAGCACTTAACAAGACGCAAACCTAAGTCTGTTTAAATTGAAACACACTCTTGAATTGTCTAAGCCTGTCTAAACACTACCAAAAGCATATCCTATCACAGACAGTACGAAAAGCTTACATTTTATCTACGTCTACCCACTGTCTATACTCCCTCTTAACAAAAACTAAAAACTGTGCTGCCTATTCATATGCCACGGTATGTTTTAAAATGTCTGTTACTTTACTGTTTGCGACTGCTATTGTGGCTGAGCAAGCCTATTGTTATAACATGCACAACAGAAAATAAAGAATTAAAAAAAAAAAAACAGCTTCTTCACTTCCCTTTTTCTGAAACTCTGAATCTCGAAACAAATTAAATGGTTCATCCATTTCATGATAAATCCATATGGGGTTTTGGAGTTTGGGATTATAGATGAATCGCTCATCACCGAATATTTGGATGAATTGCCATTCGAATGAAACCAAATGCATATGCATAGTATCTAAGGTAATAATTCTCTCTGGAATCAGTCAGACCTACTTAATCAATTTAGTTCTATCATCCCCAGAAAGAAAGTATCATTCCACTGCCTATAAAATAAAAGATTGAAAAAGGTCTATAGTGTGCCCACATTCTACGTCCCTTTGAAGATCACAGCTTATGTATCAGCTTCTTACTTTACTTCTCCTGCTTCACATATGCCTGGAAAACCCATGCAAATCTGAGTTGTTCTAGACTTGTTAAAATAAGCATACATAACTCACAGTGTATCCTGAGGACTTTGTCCATTTTGTGGGGACCCAGCATACCTCCTAGCATTTAAAATGGACAAAGAGGAACACTTTCATTTTATGGGTCCGGCTAGGGGTGACCAGGGGAGGGGCTGTTCTGAGAAGTTTTAGATGACTACCAGAAAACAATTTATGCTACTATAATGTAACTATGAATAAGAACAATGTATCCTATTTATTGTAGTTTAAAGACATATTACTGTGAGTAATATAAAGGTAGTAATCTATCTTAATACAAAGTAAGATCGAAAAGGTAGAAATATAAACAAAACACATTCAAATTAAAAAATACATTAGGGATAAACAGAATTATATGAAAAATCAAGTGCGCTCATGCCACACAAAAGAACAATTACCTACCTCCCCCAACAGAGGAAGAAGTCCAGTCAAAGAAAAACACTACCAGAAATGTCCCCTTAAAAAGTGGGAGGCACATATACAAACTGTTGTAATTCCTACACCATTCACCTGATTTGGATGTAAATACCCTCAAATTAAAGCTGAAAGTCTGCAGTTAAAGCACATCTTGTTAGTTTCATTCCAAACCAATTGTGTTGGTGTATAGAGCCAAAAAGATTAGAATTGTGTTGGTGTCCTAATATTTATGGACCTGACTGTAGTTATATAGCTGAAAAGAGACTGGCGTCCATCAAGTTCAGCCTTCCTCACATATGTTTTTGCTGTTGATCCAAAAGAAGGTAAAAAACCTTGTCTGAAGCGCTTCCAATTTTGCAACAAACTAGGAAAAAATTCCTTCTTGACCCCAAAATAGCAGTCAGATGTCTCTTTGGATCAAGCAGCTATTAGTAATCAAAGATTTTAAAAATATCAAAATAAATATATTCGAGAAATCTAATTTCACAAAAAAAAAGAAAGAAAAAGAAGCCCTATTGATGACAATATCTTTAATCTTCCGGATAGGAACTGGATAACCAAAAAAACTGCTTGTGCCAGGAGCACACATATCCTAACCAGATTTTTCTAAAATTATAATGTGTGTAAAGGAGTAATTATCAGTTTAAATGGAGCAGTTTAAATGGAGTCCAAGAGAAATGGGATTATTTTAAAATGGCACTACTGAAGGCAACAGATAATTGTGTTAGACTTGTCAGTAAGAGCAAACAATTAAATAAACCACTGTGGTACTCCACAGAAGTGGCCAAAATAGTAAAAAACGAAAAGTTAGCAAAGCAATAAGTAGTTGTAAAAAAAAAAAAAACAGAGTGAGGAAGATAGACAGATCTATAAGATTAAGCAGAAAGAGGATAAACAAGTTATTATAAGAGCTGCCAAGTCACACACAGAAGACAAAATAACTCAGTCAGTAAAAAAGGGGGACAAAACATTTTTTAGATACATAGTTACATTGCTGAAAAGAGACTTGTGTCCATCAAGTTCAGCCTTCCTCACATTTGTTTTTTGCTGTTAATCCAAAAGAAAGCAAAAAAAAAAAACAAGTTTGAAGCACTTCCAATTTTGCAACAAACTAGGACAAAAATTCCTTCTTGACCCCAGAATGGCAGTCAGATTTATCCTTGGATCAAGAAGTTATTACTCTACATTGAAAAATTATATCCTTGAATATTCTGTTTTTGCAAGTATGCATCTAGTTGCTGTTTGAACATCTATATGGACTCTGATAAAACCACTTCTTCAGGCAGATAATTCCACATCCTGATTGTTCTTACAGTAAAAAAAAAAACTTTTCTTTGCCTTAGACTAAATCTTCTTTCTTCCAATCTAAACGCATGACCTAGTTGCCCTATGTAAAGTCCGGTTTGTGAATGGATTTCCACACAATGGTTTGTATTGGCCCCAAATATATTTGTATAATGTTATCATATCCCCTCTCAGGCGATGTTTTTCTAAACTAAAAAGGTTTAAATTTGTTAACCTTTCTTCATAGCTGATATGTTCCATTCCTTTTATTAATTTTGTAGCCCGTCTCTGCACTACATAATGGAGAAAAGGAAAGTAAAACAAGGGTTAGTTAGATTAAAACCAAAAGAAGGTAGGTATGTAGAAGAGGATAAAGGTCTAGCGGACTACCTCAATTAATATTTTTGTTCAGTATTTACAGATAAAAATGAAGGAAAGGGACCTCAGTTAGGAAAAAGGACAAATTAGTAATTTGTTACATGTGAGTTTACAGAGGAAAATTTTCTATTTTAACTGTCAAAAGTAAAGACAAATAAGTTGATTGGGCCTGATGGAATACACCCAAAGTTATTAAAAGAGCTTAGTGTTGTTGTGGCCGTGACTTAAATATGAATATTAATCTTTTAATATATAATAATTAAGCAATAAGGAACTACATTAATATTTTTTATAGTTTGTGGTATTATGGTCAAATATGTGGATAGAAAATACACAAAATATTGTAATATTAAATGTATATTTAATATAACTATAATAAATAAACATATGCTAGCAGAATGTCAATTTACTACAATAATTATACAATACAAAATGTATATTTAATATAACTACAATAAATAAACAGATGCTAGCAGAATGTCAATTTACTACAATAATTATACAATACAAAATTACAACATATTACTTACAAAAGGCTATAACAGTTGCTAAATGTTACAATGGATTCATATTACTTACAAGGCCCTACATCTTCAGTCAGGTAAAAAGCCAAAAAGAGACAGAGTTCCTCCTACATCTGGTTTTATTCAGTGTAGAAGGACATGTCTTCCTACACACTGCCCCTAGTGGTGTCTCCAAAGCATTACAACAACTATGCTTTCTTTATGATGTAAAGTCATTAATTAATAAATACCATTACAAGTGGTGTACTAGCTAAACCATTGACGGATTTATTTAACCAATCATTGTTAACACGAGTAGTCCCAGAAGATTGGAAATTAGCAAATGTTGTGTCCATTCACAAGAAAGGTAGTAGGGAGGAGCCGGGCAATTATAGGCCAGTAAGCCTTACTTCAGTAGTGGGGAAAGTAATGGAAAAAAGGATAGGATTGTTGAACATCTAAAATCACATGGATTTCAAGATTAGAGACAACATAGGTTTCTTTCAGGGAGGTCATGCCAAACTAATCTCATTGATTTTTTTGATTGGGTAACTAAAAAAATAGATCAGTGTGGTGCAGTAGACATTGCTTACCTAGATTTCAGTAAGGCTTTTGATACTGTCGCACATAGAAGGCTTATCAATAAACTGCAATCTAAGTTTGGATTCCAATATTGTTGAATGGGTAAGGCAGTGGCTGAGTGACATGCAACAGAGGGTTGTAGTCAATGGAGTATATTCGAAGCAAGGTCTTGTCACCAGTGGGGTACCTCAGGGATCTGTACTTGGATCCATTCTCTTTAATATTTTATTAGTGATATTGCAGAAGGTCTTGATGGTAAGGTCTTTTTGCTGATGATACTAAGATATGTAACAGGGTTGATGTTCCAGGAGGGACAAGCCAAATGGCAAATTATTTAAATAAACTAGAAAAATGGTCAGAGCTGTGGCAGCTGACATTTAATGTGGATAAGTACAAGATAATGCATTTGGACGTAAAAACCCAAGGGCAGAGTACAGAATATTTGATAAAGTCCTAACCTCAACATCTGAGGAAAGGGATTTAGGGGTAATAATTTCAGATGACTTAAAAGTAGGCGGCAGAAAGTAAACTCATAAAATCAAAGTTCAAATCAATCAGAAATAAAAAGAACATTCAATTATATAAAGCCTTGTAGCCTTGATTCCTCCTCTTTCTTTGCTGCTCCAGCTGCAACAGGTCAGAGTATTTGCTCTCTCTGAGTACCCTATTGATTATATTTGTTTAATTGTGTTCTTGTGTTTTAAATTTCCTTTTTGTAGTATGTGTCCTCCTACCCTCTAATTACTTGGCCTCTCCTTCTGCTGTACAACTTTTTAAATTGACTTTGTCTGCCTCCTTCTGTATTCCTGTCCTGCATTGTACTGCAGTGGGGATATCTGCCTTGTGTCCTGTTTTTTTACCTGCTAATTTTCCCTCCATTTTATAGGCTGGGTCTGGGGTAGTTGGGTTGCATGCTGCTTTCCAGCCGCATGATTGGGTCCACAGGTCCTCGTTCGCGGTGGCCATCTTGGATCTTGCTCCTTGTGGTATTCACGGCGGCCTATTTGTTTGTGTGTGGCAGAACATGGCCTGCACACGGTCAGTTCCCTACTACAGGATATCAGCCATGGATATAAGTAAAACCTAACAACAACTGAGAAGAAGGATCATTCAACATGAATGTTCAATTACGAACCCCAATGTATCTGCTCCAGTGTCAAAAAATGTTAGACATCACCATGGTGGCGACCCTACACATCTAACATTTCAGGCATTAGAAAAACTGACCGTCAACTCAAGGAAAGGTAACTTTAACAATATGTTATTAATGAAAGAATCACGTTGGACCTACCATTTTAAAACACTCACTCCAGCAGGTCAAAATGAAGAATTCAATGTTACACCCTTTATTCATAAATAATGTTTTTATCTCCTATCCTATGTCCCTATTTTAGGAGCAGTTAAGGCAAATATTTTCTTTATTTTCTTTTTTTTCGGTTACCTGATAACATAGTATACTATTAATTGTCATCCGCCAGTGTAAATTTAATAATAAATTATTATTACTTTTCTTATTTTTCAGTAGTCAATTTAAGTACAGCAATTGCATATTTCAATTAGAATTTCCTGTATCTAATGTTCAATTCAATTGTAACCATTCAGTATTACCAACTGCTTCTATTCATGTTACATTATTCTAATCTTGATAGCTTTCTAGTCCAAAATATTTAGATATAATTTGATTCTACTCCTCGACATTAATAGGTCTATTTTATTGTTTTACTTTTTTCCATGGAGTGGGTGCTTTATCAATACTCTTTGAGCACTTCATATCATATTCCCACTCAAACATTTGATCATATTCAGTAGAGATCTGTTTTTTAATTTCAATTTGTATTTTTGTATATAAAACACATTGTAAATAATGTCTTAGATTGCAACTCAGGCAAGTCTAACACTATTAAATATTCCAGTTACGAAACATTTATATTATCTTTATAACTACTTGGTTATATTATCTTTATAACTATTTCTGTCATTTCTGATTCAAGTTCGTCCTAAATCTGCATTTACGTAATGATCAAATATCCTCAAAAGTAACAAATATCTGAAAGGGTTAATTTCCTCACTGAGATTCATCTCATTAAGGAGGAGCATTATGATACACATGGACGTATTGGTAATCAACCAATAAGAATAATTCATTTTCAGCCAATCAAAACCGTCCGCCTCCTCTTTAAACGCTGTGCTCTGTACCGGCCGGTTCCTCTCTGACGAGTCAGGTCGGGTGAAACACGCACGTCAGGGTTCCATTCAGTGTTGTGTTCTATTACCATATGACAGCACACGGGCTTACCACTATGTTTAATTTCATTTTTTGTCATTAGCCATTCGACTTTCTAGCATGCTCTAGCCACTTAGCTTTGCAAGGGATTATGTGTAAATAGCGTAGAATGGGAATAGCTCCAGGTGCCCTCAAAGGCACGGAGGGAGAAGTTAGCAAGGCTACTATCTTAGTGCAAGGTATCTCTACCATAGAATGTTTCAACATTATGGCGAAACAGCTTATCATTGCAACTTTGTATATAGCAGATCTTATTCTGACATTCTCCGCTACCCTCCCTCTGCACTCTATAACAGCCATAGGTGCCCTCGAAGGCACAGGGGGGATAAGCCTGTTAGGCTGTTATTATTATTTTCTAACTATCCTTCTCCATATATCATTGGAAGGCTTACTTTATTACCAAATCCATTACTATAATCATAGCACCCAGGAAATATTCCACGGCACCCCTGTGTGCACATCAGTGTGGGAACCACTGATGTAGATAATTGAATTAGAGAAATTAACAATCAGAATATAAATCAAATAATACAATACAATAAACCTGTAAACACAAAAAAAATATTATTTTACCCATTGTCTTGGATTTTAATAATAAAAGCTTTCAAATAAAAAATATTTAAAAACATTGGAATATTTTAAAAGAAGATATTAAACACATTTTACCTGAGAAACCAAACATCGTATATAAAGTTGCCCCTAATCTCAAAAAAAATAACACACAAAAAAAACAAACTACCATCAATTACTCTTTTTTGGGGGAACATAAAGGTTTTTATAAGTGCAAACGATGCATAGCCTGAAAAAACACCAGCAACACCAATCTTAAAATCTCTGATTTTAAATCAAAACACTCCTCTAAAAAATACAATATTAAAAAATTTTTTATTACATGTAATACAAAAAATGTAATCTACATTTTAGAATGTCCACGCGGACTGCAATACATCGGTAACACCATTAGGAGTCTTAAGGTCGGGATTGTAGAACATTGTAGAAACATTGCAAAAGGTTTTTTTAAATCACTCAGTTTCCAAGCACCTTTTTAATTCATAATAAGAACCCAAAATTCCTAAAATTGTATGGTATAGAAAAACATACTCCCCCTTGGAGAGGTAGCAACCTTTTAAATATTCTAGGTAAAAAATAAATGGTCTGGGCTTTTAAATTGAACACTTTAATACCTGAAGGGTTAAATGCAAATTTTGATCTGTGCTATTTTTTAACAAAAATTATATATATATATATATATACATATATATATATATTATTTTCTTTTCCCATTTTTACTTGTTTTTTTCTTTATATGCAGCACACTGTATGTACCAACAACTAATAGTTTTACAACATCATATCATCTCCTTATCCTTTTTTTCCCTTCTTCTCCCCCTCCTTTTACTACATTTCCCATCAGTCCTTTCTGTGCATCTTCCTACTATGTTCTCCTTTTATGATGCTTCCCCCTTTCAAACTACAACTCCCAGCATGCCTCTTTAATTTATGTGTCTCTCCTCCATCTTGGAGAGATTGGTACTCCTCTTAAGGGGACCTACACCATAATATTTACTTTATATTTCTTAATTAAAATAAAAAAAATTGAAAAACTTTTTACATATTACCTGTAAGTTTAACCATTATTAACTGTTTATGTATGTTTTTATCTTAATTTGGATTTTTAGTCAGTTATTTTTACTAGTCACATAACTATGACATCACACAACCGTTTTATTTTTTTTTTTATTTTTTTAGATGGTATATAACCAGGATGGTACTTATGTCGGTAAACACTTTTTTGAGAAAGCTTGTGATTTGGTGAAAAGTGTATTTTTATATTTTATGTAATAAAAAGAGTATACTGTTTATCTACTTTGGACCCTCCTAATTGCTTTTAGAAGACTTTATCCAAGAGGACTCCAGAAATATCCTTGGTGGGGATTTTATCACCTACGCTATTTGGATTGAGGAAAAACTCCTTTTGTGAGCTTTTTGTTATATTTTAATAAATTTTTTTTTTTTTATCAGTGGGCGCTATTGGTTGTTTTTATGTTCCTTTCATGCCAAATCTGCATCCATGAGCTTCTACTACCCATGCCAAGACTCCCATACAGTGCATCTGGATCCTGACACTTCCTGTAAAATTGTAGCTGCACCAGTATATCCACTGACAGGGATCATACCACCCAAGCGCTACTATTTGGAGCTGATCAGAAGCTCCAAAAATCTGTAAGTGAATTTCGATATTTTCATTACCAAGTATAAGTACCTACTAAGCTATATCGAGTCTCCTGCTCTTTTACATGCACTGAGCACCATCTGGATCAGAAGACACTCACCAGGCGCTGCGACCCTCTTTCTTCATCTTGCATATTACTGTGAGTAGTACTATTACTGAAAAGCTATGGTATAAATTCAGACACACCAAGAATACTGAGATCCTACAAAAGAGGGACAGTAGGATAGAAAAAACGATCTGGGCAAACCCTAAATAAACTTGCGAGGTATGAGCTAGGTTTTGAGGTACAAGAATGCAGTCCAAACAGAGCTATACGGAAGACTCTACCAAGACCTTACCTCTGTGTACCTGTCTTTAGCTATCTGTACTTTTTCCTCTTAAGCCCTTAAGGACACATGACATGTGTGACACGTCATGATTCCCTTTTATTCCAGAAGTTTGGTACTTAAGGGGTTAATGTGAAATAACAAATCTTCTAAACATTATTTATGACTACATCCTCCAAAATGACAACTGTAAATATAACATAACAAAAGTCATTTCTGGAAGTCCAATAAAAATCTGACAAAGTCACCCAAGAAATCATACCCCTAGTTTGTAGAATAGGGTACAGGAAGGAAACCATTTAACTAAAGGATTAGAGAAGGACTTCAAAAGGAACTTGATTAATTGGTTTTCTTATACAGAAGCACAGCACTTTTCATTTACTGACTAGAATTGCAAAGAAGTGATAGGCATCCAGGAATATATCGCAGTTATGACAACCCTGTCTGAGTAGCTCATAACTTCTAGAATTTCAATGACTCCTCACCTATTGCCTCCATTGAACTGGCAACAGATGTGATGAGGTTCTTTCGTATAGGTAGTGCACCTGTGAATCATCAGTGTCCCCTCCTTCCCTGTACTCCCTCCCAACCAACCTCCGTTTTTTACCTCCATTTTTAACATTTACACATTTGTTTTATTAAAGTGTGTCTCTTACACCCCAGTCTCTTTGTGTGTCTGTTTTCCCACAGCCCCTTTGTGTCTCTCCTTCTCGCCCAGTCCATTTGTGTGTCTCTTTCTCCCCTTAGTCCCCTTCATGTGTCTCTTTCTCCTACCAAACTTATCTGTGTGTCTATTCTGCCCAGCACCTTTGTGTGTCTCTTTCTATCCCAGCCCCTTTGTGTGTCTTTCTCCCCTTCCACAGCTCTTATGTGTGTCTCTTCCCCCAGCCCCTTTGTGTGTCTCTTTTACGACCACTGCAGAACTTTCTGGATCTGGATTCCAGCTGAAGAATTTTGACAGTTTGAGACGCAAAGTGAACAGATCGATCGAAAAGCAAGCCCCGTTGGTGGAAAACCTATCTGTCCAATTTTTAATCGCTGGAATCTACCCAAACAAAACTGATAGATGTCTTTGGTGATAATTAACTACCGAAAATGAGCACGGGCAGATGTACTGAACTGA